TAGAAACCTATTCATTTCTTCTCTTTTTACCTGTGGTTTTCTCTTTCTCACTCTTTTCCTTCATCTTCTTAAGCCAGTCCCTTTAGCGTAAAATGTAATGCTGGTTTGGTACGGATGAATTCTTTTAGCCTTCCTTTGTCTGGGAAACTCCTTATTTCCCCTTCCATTTTAATTGAGAGCCGTGCTGGGGAGAACAGTCTTGGTTGCAGGCCTTTGCTTTTCATGACTTGGAATATTTCTTGCCATTCCCTTCTGGCTTGTAGTGTTTCTATTGAGCAGTCAACTCCGGGGCTCCTTTGTATGTTACTCCCTCTTTCTTCTTGCTGCCTTGAGCATTTTCTCTTTGTCTTTGATAGTTGCCATTTTAATGATGATGTGTCTTGGAGTGCGCCTCCTTGTGCCCCTCTTTAATGGGGCCCTCTGTGCCTCCTGGGTCCATGAGATCTTTTCTTTCCTCAAATTGGGGAAATTTTCCATCATATCTTTTAAAAGAGGTTCTCTATCCCTTGCTCCTCTTCTTCTCCTTCTGGTATGCCTATTATGCATATATTATTGTGTTTTAGGTTGTCCTGCATTTCCCTCAATGCCTCTTCATTCTTTTTGAGTCTTTTTTCCATTTCTTGTACTTTTGGGAACTTTTTTCTACCTTATCCTCCATCTCACTGATTAGATCCTCGGCTTCATCTAGCCTGTTTTGGATTCCTTCTACTCTGCTCTTCAATTCAGAAATTGTATTCTTCATTTCCTCTTGTATCTTCTTGATAGCTTCTCTGTCCATTTCCAGGTTGATATAGTTTTTTGTAAGATCCTGATAGTTTCTCTGCAGTTTCTCATAGTTATCTTTGAGCTGGCTGAGCTCATTGAGCTTCCTTTGAGCCATTGTTTTGAATTCAATATCTGATAGTTCCCTTGCCTCTATTTCATTTAGCTCTCTCTGTGGGGAGTCCCCTTTTCCACTCAGTTAGGGGGAACTTCTTTTTCTTCCCATTTTTGTGAGAGTCTATTTTATTTATTCATTCATTCATTCATTCATTCATTTATTTTTGATTCTGCTTAAATTGATCTGTCATATTTTGTGACTTTGTGGATTAAACTTCTATAGTATTATGCGCATTTATTTATTTATTTATTTAGTCTTTTCTTTGTGGGTCTGCCTCTGATGATGTCAGTTGTTGACCTTATCTGACCTTGGTTCATTTGTTTGAGCCTTCCAGGAATTTACTGTCTGTGTCTGACTCTTGCTTTGGGCAGCTCTGTGACCCTTTTGGACAGGGATCCATTATTTCTGTGGATATCTCTGCACTCTCAAGCCGGCTCCTTGAGCGTGCTGCCCGGCACAGCATTATCCCCCGCCTGCCTGGGTAAGTGCACTCGCCCCAGCCAAGGAAGGCTTACTCGCCCGACTTCCCGCACTCGCCAGCAGGGGTCAGTTTAGGGTCTTCTATTGTGTGCTTTCTTTACTTTGGATCTTTAGGGGCGTGGCTTGCCGGCACTAAATGGAGACTAGGGAAATGGGAAGAAGTCAGCTCAAGGACTCTCCAGTTAATCCTGTTCCCAGTCTCTCCTCCAGAGTCTCTGGGCAGCTCTCTAACCCCTTCAGCTAGGGATCCACTCTTTCTGCTGATCGTAATTGCGTGCCTTCTGGCTTCCGCACCTACTTCTGCCTCTTTGGGTGCGTGGCCTGCCTGTGCAAATGGGGACTACAGAACGGGGAGGGACTCTGCTCTGGGGATCTCAGATAATCCTCCAGTTCTTTCCCCAACCTCTCTGTCTGCCATTCTCTCCTCAAGGGTCTCTGTGCAGCTCTGTGTCCCCTTTGGCCAGGGATCCTCTATTTCTTACAGCCAGTCTGCACTCAGCCCCTAGCCCACACGCGTACAAGCTGTGTGCAGAGTGCACAAAAGGCAGGTTAATTGATTCCCTTATGCCTGGGCGAGGTGGTAGCTGCAGAGTGGGAAGTGCGTTATGACCAGGGCTCCACTGGCCACTGTCTCTGTTCTCTTCACAAAGTTTTCCTTTCCAGTTTTCCTCAGGCACTAGCCCACTCTCCTGTCATCTCTACCCAGAGATCAAGGAAGGTGGCTGCCACTGCAAATTTTTTCGTTGGTCCTTTAAATGTCTCTTTGCATATCCAGCCACCTGTCTCTGGCAGAGAGCGCCCCTAAGCTTTTCAGGGTTGCATTTTGTATGTGCATTTTCCTGGTTTCAGCTGCTGTATTATGGGGGTCCCTGTTTATGTTTCAGACCCTTTTCTTCTCAGGGGGATCCAACTGGCCGGTTCAATGTCCCTCTGGTGCTGGTGCCTGTGGGTGCCCAGCCCACCCTCTCGAGCCTCCACCGCACTTCTCACCCGTTCGGATGTGTGAAATTTGATTCCACTGTCTGTCCGCAGCTCCAAGGCTCCTCTCTCTCTGTTGTTCCATTTTTTCCCAAGTGATTTCTCCACTATTTAGTCACAATTCCAGTTTGGTCTTGGGAGGAGGTCAGCATGACTCCCTTTCACTCCTCCGCCATCTTTTTTTTCCAAGATATTGTCTTATATTTAGTTCTAAGAGCATTATATTTTTAGCTTTTATATTTAAGACTATGATAAATCTCAAATTAATTTTCTGCAATACCATCTCTGTCATAAATTAAACTTTCATATATGTAAATATACTTTTATTCTCTCTATGGTGTTTCATTTATTTATTTTTTTTACCTTGTGCCAGTAACACAGTAACCCAATTACTATAGGTTTAATTAATTTTTGACATTTTGCAGGGCAAGTCCCTCTACTCTGTTCTTCTTCTGTAGGAAGATATTGACTATTCTTGGATCTTTGTTCTTCCATAAAAATTCTACAATCGCTTTTTAAATTAATGTTTTTTCTTGGAGGTTCACACCAATAGATTTATTGTAAATATTAACTCTAAACTCACATTAGGCCATGTTTGAATTAAAAAATAAATTCTTAAGGAATCCTATATTTTACATAACCCACAGAAAAACAGACATGCTTCCTTATTCTCTCCCTGTACTGATTACTATGTTTTTCTAGTGCTCTTTGGCATTGAGGGCATAACCCTTCCATTGTATTAGATTTATGGGACAAATCCTTGTATTTGTTTCTTATGACTGCTGTTAACTAATTACCACAAATTTAGTGACTTAAAACAACACAGATATATCCTCTTACAGTTCTTGACATTAGAGGTCAGAAGTCAGTTTTACTGGGTTAAAGTTTAAGTGTCAACAGGGCTTCACTCCTTTTTGTGGCTCTAGAGGGATAATCTATTGCTTTTTCCAGTTTCTAAAGCTTTACTACTTGCTCATGGGCCCCCTCCTCCTCTTTCAAAGCCAACAGCATAGCTTCTTCAAATCTCTCCTGTTTCCTTCATCTCATTGCTTTCTTCTCTGTAGTCAAATGTCCCTCTGCCTTACACTTACAAGAACACTTGTGATTGTATTTAGGGCCCATCCAGATAATCCAGGACAATTTCTCCATCTCAAGATCCTTAACTTAGTTTCTATCTGCAGTCTCTTTTGCTACATAAGGTAACACTCACAAATTCCAGGGATTAGAACATGGATAACTTTTCTGATCATTATTCAGCCTACAACAGTCCTAACTTGTAACCCTTAACTTCACTCAGGATCAAAGCCTTTCCTGTGTAACTTTAAAACTCAAACTCTTATTTACCAAATCTAGTGGATAATCCACCCATATTTCTGCTACAACAGTATCAGCTCATGTGATTAACACTCCAGTCTTCATTTCTTGATACTGCTTGGGTCCCTGTGTATTTCCTTTAATTTCTTATGAGCTCAGATATATTTAAAAATGTTTTCTATGTTTTAACTAGCTTTTCTAAGATTTTGTAAAGAAAGATTGTTCAGAGTATCTAGTTTGTTTTATTTTTTTAAGTGGGCATCTTTAATATACTCCTGTATAGATTCTCCTCCTTCTACTTCACTAGAACTGTTCTTTTCAAAATCCTAACAACCAAGCATATCACCATACCCAACAGACAGTTTCTGTCTGTATCTTACCTAAACACACAGCAGAATTCACACCAGGTTATTATTCCCTGCTTCTTGAAACACTGTTCCTCTCTTGACTTCCATAATAATATACTCTAGTTTATTTTTCTTTTTTCCTATTTTATAGGTTATTTTTTTCCTTTTTCTCAATTGCTATCTCCTTTCTACCTGACCAAAAATGCTGCTTCTTTCTGAAACATTATTTACTATTGATCTGCACAGAATTGCTTCAGAATATTGGTAGGAAATATTGGCCTTCTGGGTCTGTACACAGAAAATCCAAGTATATGACAGCTACCATGCTATGGAGGAAGGTTAGTAGGCTAAAAGAGTCAATTGATATTTATCTCCTAAAATATCTTACACTGGAAAAAATAGACAAAAAAATGTTTTATATGTTATAAGTCTCCCAGGGAAAAGTGCTAAAGATATGCAAGTTTCTCCCTAGACATCAGTAAATTCATACTGAAGAAAACTTCTCAGTATTGTATGTCCTATTGAAAAACCCGTTAAACTCTGTGTACCCTTTACTAAATATCATATAATTCATACTTTCAAAAAGGCTAGAGGAGAAACAACAAAGTTATATGTGCATACAAAAAAATGGGTTATAAAAATGCCCCCAATCCACCCATCTGTTGTCAACTTAGTTTCCTACCCTTTACGTTCCTGAGCTCTGCTCACTAATTTCCTCTTTTTTTACTAAACTCTCTGACCTTCCCCAGCTCCTGGAGCAAACCTGACTGAGACATGAAGCATTTCACTAACTTTAGTACTCCAGCACTCTTCTTATTCCCACTTTTTTGTAAGAATTCAGTCTCCTGAAATACCAGGATCCAATGATAATAATGCTGGGCTCAGGTGTTACTCCCATTATCTCTAGTAATGGTTCTTCTACCTTCCTCACACCTACTCAGAGTGTCCATCACAAAATTTTGGAAATATCTCCCCATCATTCTCCATAAAACAACACTCACCAAAGACCGTGCGGGCAGGAACAGACTCTCTGTTGAGCCAGAAAGACACTTGTGACAGAATGACAGTCATGATACATGGCAAGTAGGTCTGGATCACAAAGTAGCCAATTTTTCGCTTGAGATGAAAGTGGGTCGTCATGACGACATATTCTCCTGGAGAGAGAGAGATTAACATTAGGTAGTATGTAGCCAAAAAATCATTGTTGGATCGAGGTGGGCTCCAATTCAGTTCACAAAGCTCCTTAACCTTACATTCAAAACAAGACATCGTGGCACCTGCCAAGTCCATGAAGCCAGATCTCATGAAGAGGTGAGGATTTTTTTTTGGAGGGGGGGAAATATATACTAACAGTGTACCAACAGATCTTCCTCAGAGTGCTTTTGATATAAAGTTATTCAAATAAAGTAGTGTCTTCATTTAAATAAATTTAATAAGAAACCATCTCTTCTACAGCATTTGCTATGTGATTAGCAGTCTTCTAGAATTTTTACATCCTTAAAATACTTAATTTTAACAACAGCCCTATGAGGTAGGCACTATTGTTATCCTCATTTTATGGGTTAATAAACTGAAGCAAAGGGAGACTGAGCAATTTCCACCAGGTTACCCAGCTTGTAAGTAGTGGAGCCTGAATTCAAGGACAAATGGGTTGGCACCACACTTTATGCTTTCTAACCAGTATGCTCTGCTGTTCAAATGGATTTATTGGGTTACAACCAAAAGTTCTCATAGCAGAATATAGGCTGGCCTACATCACCCAACTCCAAAATAAGAGTAAACACTTATTAATATCTTACTGTATGCCAAACAACTTTAAGTGTTCTTGGAGTATTTTCTTTATAGCCTCCCAACAACCCTGTAAGGAAGGTACTAATTACCCCTTATTGTTAAATCCAATAGTTTGTCACTCTTCCTGGATTTCTCAGAAGCATTTTACACAGTTGAGCACTCCATTCTCCTGGAATAGCTCTCTTCACTGAATTTCTAGGCCATGATGTTCTTCTGATTTCCCTCCTATCTCATTACCTCTCCAGTCTCCATTGCTGATTCCTTTAAATTTCTGAATACTTGAGGATGTCAGGGCTCATTCTTGTACTCTTTTCTGACTTATTCACTGCCTTTATATTTTCAGTCCATATCTTTAAATAATACCTTAAACTCTGATTACTCCCCAATGCATATCTTTTGACTGAGCTTCCTACTTATTATGGGCTGAATTGTGTCCCCTGGAAAGGTATGACAAAGTCCCGACCTTGAGTACCTCAGAATGTGACCTTCTTTAGAAATAGGATTGTTGAAGATATAATTAGTTAAGATGAGGTTATATCTTAACCTCGTAGGTAGGTAGGTAGGATAGGTTATCACCCATTATGACTGATGCTCTTATAAAGACAGACACACAGGGTAATAACTGATGACATGTGATGACAGAGGCAGAGATTGGAGTGACAAATTACAAAGCATGGAATGCCAAAGATTGACAGTAACCTTCGGAAACTAGGAGAGAGAGGTACAGAACAGATTCTCCTTATGAACCTCCAAAAGGAACCAACCCTCCCAATACCTTTGTTTCAGAGTTCTAGCCTCCAAAAATGGGGGGGGGGTAACTTTTTATTGTTTTTAGCCACCCAGTTTGTGGTATTTTGATACATGGGCCTAGGGTTCCCTAAATGACTCTAGACCTATGTATTCAATTACCTATCAGGCTTCACCATTTGGGGATCTAATAGATATTTTGACCTAAGGTGTACAAGCCATAGCTTTTATTCACCTTATCTCCCATCCCCTCCAACTGGTTCCTCCAACAGTTTTTTCCCATCTCAGTAAATGGTAGCCCCCAGGAGCACAGGCCAAAATAAAATTCTTCAAAAATTTAGCATCATCATTGACTTCTCTCTCTGTCTCCCTCCCTCCCTTGCATATGCCTTCATGTGTGGACATGCATGCAAACACAGATACCCAATCAATTAGCAAACCCTGACAGTTCTTTCTTCAAATACTATACATCCATAATTTGACTACTTATCACCACTTCCACCAATACCATTCTGGTCTAAGCCACTAGAGTACTGTAATAGCTTTATAACTGGTCTTCTTTTTATTCTTGCCCTATTCAATGCATTCTTTGCACAGTAGCCAAAATGATCCTATTAAAACATAGGTCAAATTTGGTCTCTCTTTTGTTTTACTCCCATCACTGAAAGAGTAAAAGCCAAATTTCCCTAAATGGTTCCCCCAAATCCATGTAATCTGACTGCTCTCCTATAGTTCTTGTTAAAAATTCTTATTTTTTACCTTTTTCCCTCCACCCACTTTTGGTTTTGTCAGGTCTTCTAAATGAGGCAATTTCCCACTTTCCTACCTTACTCATTTTCTTGTACCTAAGTCAAGAAAGCACCATCTTTCTACCCAAAGTTCAATATACAATACATATTGTGTGCATAGTCACACTCTAGTTTTTTTATGTGAAAACAAAAAATATAAGTAGGCTTATTTTTAATTTAGCTAAGAATTTTCATACATAATTATGGAACGTGTTCACTATAACTTAGGAGTTTCTCTCTTTTCTTTCTCTCTGCTTCTTTTTCAATCTTTTTATTTGTCTTTGTTCCCCATTGCCTCCCACTCTCTCCTCTCTCTCCTTCTCCACTTCTTTCCTTTCTTTGTCCATTTCTATTCCTTTTTCTCCCTGTCTTTCCTTTCACTCTCTTTCTTTACTGAGAAAGCATTTGAGGATTTATTTTAAATAACAGTAGGACTCCAATTAGCTTGGGCAATTTTCCCTCTTCCGCATCTTAGTTTCACACCCCTAAACTTATATCTATTGACCTGTATTTCATCATTTTAAATACTTAATATGTAAAATATACAGTAAATATTATTTATAAATTAGTTATATTCTGTATAACTAATTCTACATGAAAGGCAAAGCAAGTTGATTTTGCAAAAATTTATCAAATTATCCATTTGTTTTAAATAACTAGATATATTTTATTCAATCCTCTCCTTTTATACCCTTTTTTCCTTCAATTTCTTTCTTTCTGTCTCTCTTCCAAAGAAACCAAGAGCGTGACCGAGATCAGCAAGATAATAGAATAAGACACTCCAGCTCTAGTACCCAGTCACAAAAATATGCATCAGCAACTATCCACAAACAAGAATGCCTTTTTGAAAGTCCTAGAACCAGGACGTAAGGCTGAAGTACCCCCTTGGAGCATAAAACAAAGCGACATTAAAAGCGTAAGAGAAGTGGTTCTCTTTGCTGCCTTCTTCCCGCCCACAGGCCAGCTCCCTTAAGCACCTGGGGGTTCTGCTGGGTCTACAGTTTACCCAGTAGGGAAAGGAGAGTGAGTGGCAGATACGGGCTTCCAGCATTCTGGGGCATTCCTCTGGAGACCTACTTCTGTCTTGCTTCATGGGGAGCACTGGAGAAATTGGCAGCGATAAACCACTTGTGGTCTGCTAAGAACAAAGAAGAGAGGAACGATGGAAGTTACAGCCATCAGTTCGCAAAGTTGTCAGTGGTACCAAGTCCCTGCCAGCAATCTCTTCTGATCAGAGTCCAGCAGTCTGGCCTTACTTTCTTAGAAACTCAACCTCTGAGAGCAGCCTGCAGCTCTGGCAACTGGATAAGAACAGACAGAGGCCCCGCCCAACAGCAGATCTCTGACCAACAGCAAAACTCCAGCAGATGCCTTGCCCAATGGCAGTGGGCCAATGGAATGGGTCACATTCCCTGGTGCCCTGATGTGGTCAAAGAGCGACCTCTGGTGGTTAAAACCTGCCAGCTGCGCAGCCTAATAGCGACAATGCTCCCGCCCACCAACCCATGCCATCCCTGGGAATCAAGAAGGTGAGGGGATTAAGCAAGGTGGGGAAAAAATAACTCATGGATACATACAACTGTGTGATGATCACCAGAGGGTAAAAGGGGTTGGTGGGGTAGAATCCGGTAAAGGAGGGAAAAATGGTGACAGAAGGAGACTTGACTTGGGGTGAACACACAATACAATATACAGATGCTGTATTATATGATTGTATACCAGAAACCTATATAATTATATTAACCAATGTCATCCCAATAAAACAATAGAAAAAGGACATTGGCCACATGACCTGCAGCTCCTCTGTCCACTGACAAGATGATCCCTGGGGGTCAATACCAGCTGGTTGAAAACCCTCCTGGTGGTGACGACACCTGTCACTGATACTCCTATATGCCAACACAGCAATCCCTGGGGTCAAAATCAACAGGTCATGAAGCCTGGGGGTGTGGAAGAACACCCCTGCCCACCCACAAGGGATTCCTGGAGATCAAAACCCTCCAGCTGTACAGCATGGAGGTGACAACCACTCTGTCCACCTATATGGCAATCCCTGGGAGTCAAAATGGTTACTCAGTCTGGAGGCAGAGATGCCCCCTACACCCATGCACAAGGTGATCACTTAGGGTCAAAACCCTTGGTTGTGCAACCTAGGGGCAGCAGCAACTCCCATCTGCACGCACAGTGACCTTGCCTGCTGACAAGGCAATCCCTGGGGAATAAAACTCATCTGTCACCAGCCTGGGATAAATGGTGTCTCCACCCACCAACAAGGTGATCCCTGAGGATCCAAACCCACAGGCTGTGCACCTGGGGGCTGTGCTGTCCCCCTGCCCTCCCACTAACCAGAAAGTGATCCCAGGGTAACAAATCACGCTGACCACACTGCCTGGGTGCAGCAGCTCCAGAGGTCAAATCTGCAGGCTGCCCAGCCTGGGGGTGGTGGTTATCCTGCCAGCCAACACAGTGACCCCTTGGAGTCAAAACCCACTGGCCACATGCCTAGGAGCAGCAAGGCCACCTGCCAATTGCAGACAAAGCAAATTCCCTTGGAAACAAAACCTGTCAGACAAACCAGTGGAATTGCCCCATGCACGGCAATTCCTAGAAGTCGTATCTGGGGGCTGTGCGCAGCCTGAAAGTGGAGGCAACCTTCCCCACCAAAACAGTGACTCCTGGGAGTCAAAAACTGCTAGCCGCATGGTCTGGAGTTGTCAGTGTCCCCACCTACCCAGAAGGTGATCGATGGATTCCTGGGGAACATTACAAGCTGGCTGCACAGCCTGGGGCAGCGTCTCTGCTGTTCGTATATATGGCAACCCCTGGGT